AAGTGAATGCAGATCCTATTGCACCACAGATGACTTGTCGACAGAATTTCTTCGCATAGGTAAAAACATTTTCTGTGATGACAGGACGAGCTAATTTCCGAATGGCATCAATTGGGACGTCTATCACTTTTCGATAACCATGCTCCATGAGAAACTCGGTTAAAATATTCAAAGATTCTTGTTGTGGTAACATTGTATATAAATGTGTGATATCGAATATGCACAGATGAGTGTAACGATTTCCTCGTTTCGCTACGTCGCTTTTGTTTATTTCCAATAATCTGCCCTTTGACATTTCCTCGATTTTAGAGGGCGTGGCAAATGTCACATTGTAACCAGTTTTTAGCAAATTCCTACCTCTGATTTCTGCATATTCTGTAGAAATCTACTTTCACACTCTGCATTATTAAAACTAGCAATCAGAAGTTTACTTTCTGATATAAAATTTTAAAATTCTCCTATATAATGATGACAATTCATCATGTTCAAATAAGAGTGTCATTGGTAAATACCAAAGTAGAAATCAGACATCTACTTCACTATTTTCATCCACATCTGCACTATATCACCCTCACCCTTCAAAACTAAAAATTTGTCGGTCAAAAATGAGAAAACAAAATTCTCCTTATCTTTTATTTAAATAGAATAAATCTTTTCACAATAACAATGCAGAAAATGTCGTCACATATGAGTTCGAATTACAATTCCACCTCTTCAGTTCAATTATCCGTTGTTTTAACATCAAAATCGTATATTGACGAGGCGATTGAAAATCTTTCGTTAAACAATTCTTTAATCTTAATAGTTGATTATGGATCAGCACATGGTCTGAATTCGTCTCAAGCAATGAATATGATCGTTAATTCATTAAAAGAAAAATCTAAAATCAGTGAAAATCATTCCATACTTGTGATTCATAATGATTTGCCTAATAATGATTGGTTTTCATTATTTAATATTCTAAATTCGAATTCCACTTCATACTTTGCTTTGGGCAGTGGAAAATCGTTTTATGAACAATGTTTTCCCTCGCATAGCATTTCCATCGGATATTCATCTTCATCATTGCATTGGCTTTCAAAACAACCATGTCAATTGAGAAATCATTGTTGTTCAGCTTACTTATTAGAAAATGATCCTGATTATTTACAATTTGCTCAACAATCTTATGAGGATTATTCACAGTTTCTAAAATATCGTTCGAATGAATTAATTCAAGGTGGAATTCTGATTTTATCGATTCCATCATGGCATAAACATTCAGATTTAGTTGATAATTCATCGTTTATGCATATAAATCTTCTTTATCAATGTGCACAATATTATTTAACATCAGAAGAATTATTACATTTTACAATTCCAATTCACGTTCGATTCTTTCATCAATGTGTGGATGATGAACTTTTTCAAAAATATTCTCTCCGATTAATTAAATGTGAACATGTGGTTATTCAATCAAATTTACTTGAACAATTAAATCAAGGTCAAATCAACGTAGAGCAATTTGCGCATCAGAGAGCGTTAATCATGAAAACTTGGACGAATGTTTCCTTAGAAAATGCTCTGAAAGGTAATCAAGAAAGAAAGGAAATTACGAATCATATTTGGACAATGTACGAAGATAAAATAAAAGAACAACCACAATTGCATAACAATCCAATGCAATCGACTTATATTATTTTGAAAAAAATTTAGCAAAATTTTATTTTCGTGAACAACTATTTGGATTCGATGAATCACTATAGAAATTTGATGTTTGACAATGATTTTCATTTAAAAATTTTCTCAGAACTAAATTGAACATTTGTGAATCTTGTAGAAATGCAAAATGACTTGTTCGAGGTAAAGTTAATTGACCTGATTGAGGAAGCCATTTGAAAATAGTCTCTGTT